AAGTCGAAGGCCCCATGCATATCGTTGACGTAGGAGAGAAGGTACTGTGTTTACCACTTCAGAGCGAAAGGATGCTGCAGATTCGCGGCAAAGTGAGAAGACATCCCCCGCGCAGAATGTCTTCCGCATCAATATGGCAAACAGGGACGGGCACATCACATGTGCGCGGGAGGGGAAATGATCCGCTGGGATAACTACCCACGAAGACAAAGAAGCCACAGTGCGTTGCAACGATGTCGATGACCAATAAGCCCGATCTTGAAGGTTAATCCGATGAGTATCCATTAGCTGAGACACAACTGGCTGTAGATCTGAAAGCAGACCGGAACCATGTACATGCCAGCGTCGAGCAAGTTTGCGAAGTTGTGTGGTGAAACGTTGATGCAATAAGTCGACATCACCGAAAAACTGATCCTTCATTGAGGCGGTCATGATTTCAATGTTAATGTCCGCACTGATGCGAGAAAACTCATCCAACATTACTGCGTGACCATGTGCACGGTGTAGATGGCTATCATCGATGTCCAAACAGCGACACGGAAAGGATGTGTCAGGCGCCCATTTGCGCTGCCATGTGCGATAGTTGTATATCTTGTCGCCCAATGTGGCGCTGCGAGTTTCCACAACCCGGATCTTTGGAAGGAAAAGAGAAGGGAACAGATCCCGATGAGAAGCAATCCAGCTTTGTAACCATGTGCCCAGTAGAGCTTTCCAATTTTGGACATGCAGCGGCGGCAAAAGTAGCTGTGTTAAAGTGGTGGGTGGTTGTAGCCGTCGTTTGCGTAGTACCTGGGCGAGGAGCTTCTGGGCCTTGGAGCGGAAGGGCTCGTTGACAAATACTGCGAGCCGCAATAAGTAGTACAGCTGAGTGGGAGGGAAAGCGGCTGACAGTAGGTCACGCATGACTTGGAACGACGCTCCTGTATTCGATCCCAGCTGATAGAGGATCGAGTAGTGGGCTTGAATGTCATCCAGGGCGTCAGGTCGTAGTTGCCGTTGGAGATCCGGATGTAGTCGTCGTCGAAAGCGCTTGTGCAAGCCGAGGGAAGTGGGCGACGACAACGAGTGGCGTCGAAAATCTACAAGATGTTCCCGGAAGCCCACCTTGCGCAAGATTCTGTGTACCCAGGGCGCATTCAAATGCGGGCGTAGCAGGTATTGCCATTTGCTTTCTTGAACCCACACCGAGGAAACTGGAAGTTTGATTTCCACTGGTACAGCACAGAAGAGCCAGTAAGTATTGGATCGCTTCCAGTAGTGAAGCGCCGGTTCAAAGAAGGCATGCCGTCCACGAAGTAGTTGTAGAAATTTGCGACTGCGTGAGTGTTCACGACGTAGAACATCCTGATCAGTCGCCCCAACATAGTATGGTGTGTGCCATGGGGAAAGTCGAATGTAGACGCACGGTTGTTGGTGATGACCTGGATCATGTATGAAGTCGTAGAGGTCAGGAAATCGCGCCCGCAATGAGCGTAGATGTCGCGTGTCAGCGAAAGCTGAGTGCATGATTTCACACAAGAGAGAAGTCTTGTAGAAGTGAAGGACTTCGAAGAACGGCGGGATGTAGCCGTGATCCTGTGAAATGAGACGTTGTAAGAAACTGATCAATAAATAGGCAGCGCACCGACATCTGTGAAGTTCGTACCTGTTGGCCACGGTGTGCTGAGAGTTCGACATAGCGCAATTCGGAATCTGGAGGGCTATCCGGACCACAACTAAGACCTCGAGGATGAGACCCAGCCACGGCAATTGTGTGATGGATTCGTACTCCTCAATTGGAATCGACGGTGGTGGTAGTCCAGGGAAACAATAATGCCAGCACGTCGAGAATGTAGTCAACGAGTGCAGAAGGTCGTCCAGCGACTGCCATTGTGCAACATCATCATAGATTCCGCAGTGGCGAAGTTCATCCAACATGGTGAGATGCAACCAACGAAATCTACCACAAGGCGGCGACATGGATACAAGCATCACAGACAATCACACAAGAGGCAATGCAAGAACAAGCAAGTACAAGATCAATCATGTGCAACGCAAACACTTGACGGACGAGTTTTCACCTGGACTCATCCGTGACATTGTTGCCGCTCCGGGCTCATATGAGAACGAAGGTCGATATGATGCCTTCTCATCCACAAAGCAGGCGAGCGGTCACGATGAGGTGACTCAATGCCTTCTCGGTGAGTTTGGTAAGGTACCCGGGTTCAAGACCCCATAGTGCTGCCATTGCACCGAGTGTGGGCGCATCGCCCTTCGGCATGCGCTGCCTGGCCTGAAGAAGCTGCGTCGCCATAGAATCTAACGACTTGTTGCCGTTGAGCCGGGACGGGTGATTGGCCCACTTAACCAGCGACGCCAAAGTGGTTGTTGTGGGTGCTTGCTTGAGGAAAAGGCGAGGTTGGTCACTGGTCCATGTGTAGTACTTGACAACTTCATCCGGCGTGCTGTGCATGGTGAGCAACTGTGACGCCGCCGGTTTGGACGGCGGTGACGACACTCCGTGAAGAGACTGCATGATCCGAGGTTGCACCACGCTATCAAACGACTTGCCATCCAGGGCGGCCGCGCTGGCTGTGGGCAGGGAGCTGGCAGGTGACGAGGATGGTGTGTGGTTGACCGGTGGCGGTGTAACCAACTCTGCATCATCTTTCTGGTTTGTCATCGTGGGCGAGGTCGATGCGCGAAGTGATGCGGAATACTGAGCCTGGAGAAGTTCATGTGCACGATTCAAGTCATTGAACTTCTTGACCATGTCATCGGTCTGGGCAGCAGGTGCGAGAGAGGTGTGATGTTGTTGAAGAAATTGAAGTACCAGGTTGGCCAAATGGTCATGGACTTTGATGCGCTGATTGAAGTCATCAATGTTGAGACCCAGCGTGTTGGCAAGGTCCTTTTCCAGGGTGAGCAGGTTGAGTGACTGCGATCTTCGTAGTAATTTGGAGCAGGTACTCCAAAGTAAGGCCTCAGTGCGGGTGCGAAAGCCTTCCCACGTCACGAATCGGCCGTGTGCAAACGGCCTGAGCAGCCAGTTGGTGAGGCCCCCGTGGATAACCTGAACCAGGCGTACGTCCCTAATATCCATGCCTGACATGTCGCGAAGGTTGCCATGTGGAGTGTTGGCAACAGTCATGGGCAGGCTGAAGTTGTAGAGTTGATTGACATCAAACATGCCGTCTGCAGGTGTCCAGTCAGGCGAGGGAGTAAGCCAGGCTTTCTGAGGACGAACCGGTAGAGCTGCAGGAGGTCCAGGTGAAGGGGTAGGTTGGGAAGTAGTGACCGGTGGTGGCATCATTGGTGGCATGAACTTGGATGGTGTGGGATCAGGAGGGATCGGCATCATGTAGTTGATCGCCGGGTATTGGAATTGCTGTGTGGGGTTGTGAGTCGATTGAAAATTGGTAGGCACCATCGGAAAGTTGTTAGCAGCATTGTAGCCGGAGTTGTGTTGCCATGAAACCAAGTTGTTCCAATCCATGTTCTCCGAGACCTGGTTGTCATTGTGGTCACGTCGGCGTGCTTTGTGAGCTTGAGGGGACGGACTCCGATCACGTCTGCGTCGAGTCCTGGATCTATCACGATCATCACGTCGAGACATGGTGACGCAACTAGATCGGAATTTGCACACTTCCACCTTGAGAGAATCAGACCCGACAATATTCAAATCCATGCAAATGCAAGTCAGCGGCCCTCAACTGCAATGGTCGAGCGAAATGTACAAGGCAAAGCAAATACAAGTCAGCAATCGACAACCGCAATGATACGAGCAACAAGTTCAACCAATGGTCAGGGTAGGCAATGAAAATCGGCAGCTATCAACTGTGGTGAGACGTCACTATGAACTGACGGCTTTCTTCCCTTTAGTGAAACCTCGTTCCTGATTAAATGTGAAATTCCGCTGTTCTATGATACGCACGTTGAGGTCAAATTTTCCGACAGAGCCGGCCCGGGGTCACACAATGGGTACACCCGAGGATTCCCCACGAATGGGGTGTACACACTTGAACTCCAGATGGAGAGTGCTAATCTTTCGAGTACAACTGATGAGTCTCGAGTACAACCGACAAGTCTCGAGTATGATGAGTTTCGGCTCGCAATGTATTCGGCTTCCCTCTAGTGTCGAAAACGTTACCAGAAAGAACAAGAAGCACAAACAGCGCCGCAACCAAGGGGCCAAAAGGACTTTCAGAATCACTGAAGCAGGTACAGGTGTCCACGTCTGGACACCCTTCCCACCTTTGGCAACAGCTTCATTGCGTGCAGTATGCCAAAGGTGCTGCACGCCCCTGCTGCGAAACCGAAAGGGTGGTGACAGGGCATTCTGTCACTCCGCACACACACACACACACACACACACACACACACACACACACACACACACACACACACACACACACACACACACACACACACACACACACACACACACACACACACACACACACACACACACACACACACACACACACACACACACACACACACACACACACACACACACACACACACACACACACACACACACACACACACACACACACACACACACACACACACACACACACACACACACACACACACACACACACACACACACACACACACACACACACACACACACACACACACACACACACACACACACACACACACACACACACACACACACACACACACACACACACACACACACACACACACACACACACACACACACACACACACACACACACACACACACACACACACACACACACACACACACACACACACACACACACACACACACACCTTTCAAGTTAAGAGCTTCCGCTATCTTTGGAATCACCAAATTAACCTGAGCAAGGGGTATCAAAAACAAACCAAACAACGCGCCTTTTACTCTCTACAAGAACCATTGATTCAAATCCCCAAACCACCAAACCACCAGTTCAAACCAACAAGATGCGCTTTAAGCCCCCCCCACCCAGATCTTTGAGAGTCGGCCGGCTGAGGTTTCGGACGGTCGCCCGTGTGAAAGGCCAGCTCCGGGCCTGCCCGAAGCTAAGAAGCGCGCCAGCAACGCAGGGAGGGAAATCGCTTTTTTCGCCCGCTGAAGCCATGGGTTGAGCCACCAAACTCTTCAATCAACCTGCCTGCTGTTGGTTCCCCTAAAAAAGGAATTGTTTGGACCAGGGATATGTGGGGGTACACTGTTACACTATGGTTTTAAACACCTGAATTCACACGAAGTTCTTAAACACATCCGCCTTGTTGCACAATGTTCAAGCCACTCTTTCAACACAACCT